AAAACATACATGCCTTTTTACAGAAGACTGCAATTAGTAGTTTTGTTCTCCTTCTAACAATTTTTTGTATAAATTGCAGCAGCATCACACTCGTGACCAATAGTTAGAGTTGCTGCTGCTCTTTGTGGCTGGCAGCTGCTTTTAGCAGTGTCCAAGATACTGATTACTGTATCTCCCTCTTAACTGCCTCTAGTCTATGAACATTAATATGAAATTTTTTCCCTGTCAAGGTAATCTCATTGCTAATGTGTGGATTCTACCACTGTCTCCAACTAGTATAAGACCTAAATTTGTATGTTCTTTTTAAAGAAGACTTGATTTTTTTTTCTGATTTGTACCTCCCTGGAAAAAGGTCCTGTTTTCTTTTATACTTTTTTTAAAAATAAAAAAAAAATATTGAGAAATAGCTTCATTACTTAGTCTGTCTTTGTGTCTTCATGCTGTTTCTGCAATCATTTTTATTTAAAAAAACCCAACACCCCCACCCTCCCCTAGTTTTAATTCTGTTTAACACAAAAATAGTATTTTCAAAACATGATGGGGTTTTTGGAAATACTTAGTTTAAGTGTTTCCAATATTATTCAGTGCCATTTTACAGTCAGAATAAATTTTAAGACGACACAGTTGTTTTTAAGAAACAGCTGCCAATGCTGTTCTGTAGACTGTGTGGTACATGTCCACTGCCAGCTGTGGTCCATGCACCGGGGAACCACAGGGGTGATAGGTATGTGCCACAAAAGACCACAGATGTCAGGTAAGTGCTGCAGTAAGTGACTTTAAAATGTTACAAACAGTAAACATATGTACTGCTTATTACTTGAGCTGAACTACTACTCCTTGGTAAGGATGTGCTCTGCTGGGGTAGTTCTTGGGAACAACAGTTCTGACTTAGTCTTCCCCTTGGTAGATACCTGTACTGAGATAGTTCTAGATGTTGTTTTAAGTGTAGGTATCTTGCGTTAGAAGCCACTGCTTTTAACACCAACGGTGGCAGACTGTTCACTTCAGGAGTTAATAAATGAAGTGATGTAAATTTTTAACTGAAGTACTATGCCCCTAGAAAAGAATATACAGTTAAACAGACATAGCCTCCACACAGTTCAAACTATTTTACAATTACTGAAAATATTACATTCTCTCACAGCTTTTTCTAGCACTGAAATTGATTCCTACTGAAACTGTCCTGCTTTTAAGGAGAAATCCCAGAATATTCTTCCAAAACTCATGTTACCATCAAGTTTATCATGCTGATCTTCAGTACTTCTACGTAGTGCTTCCTATTCCCTGTTCAGCTTTGAATTGCCCTAAAAAACCCATCCGATACATCAGCTACTCCCTCATCTGCAAATTATTTAACTAGAAGAAAATCTTCAAGCTGTCCTAGAACTGAGCTGAGAAGAAGCAATTCTACTTAAGACTGATTTCAAGGAATATATACCATAGATAGTTTTGAGACTTCTAGTTGAGCTGCAATTAGTGAATTACACAAATATCAGCAACTTTTTCTTCAGGCTGTTTGACAGTTACCTGATTAGGCTTATGTTTGCTAGATCACATAGTATCTGTGCTTTTCCACCAGAGTATCTAGTTTTACTCAAAACTTACTACACACACTTCATTTAAAACAAGCAGCTCTCAGTTTTTAAAGCCCCACCTTACTGCTGTGCTTCCTAATGCTCTGACCAAAGAGGAGTTCCCATCAGCTCACTTTTCTGTGTTTGAGAACTAGAGCAGAACAATTGAGTATGTGACAGCAAAAGATTAGACAAAACTTACAGCTGGAGCTTGGGGGCTTCCTTAGTCTCCTGCCCGCGAGGCACATGAATTGCTCTTTTTCTTCTCCTCATATGGTTCCACTGCAGAACTTTTCCCTTCCAGGCTTTTATTAGGATCATTATTTTCTCCAGTCTCTTGCTCTGCTTTGCCTGTCTCCTGTTTCTGCTGCTCAAGTGCATGTTCTTCAGTAAGGTTTTCAGCTGTGATTGTTTCTAGTCTACAAACTTCAGACTCAGTGTGCAATCTATTCTGTAAAAATTAATAATAAGCTATTAATCAAGCAATCCAGAGTGATGGCATCTACTGTTTCAGGTCAGCTCAAGGGGCAGAACTCCCTGTGAAAGCAGGACAGCTATCTTTTTTTTCCCTGGAGAAACAGTACATGTAAATAAGCACATTCTAGACTATAAGTCTGTTTTAAGTTTTCTACAGTTTACAGAAACATCAGCACTGTTTTTTTTTCCCCACCTTTTCTCTATGGGTAATCATTGCCCAGGCTGACGTAAATAACTTCTGCTGAGATCTGTACTTTTTATATAAAGAGTTTAATTCAGCAGTTTTCTGCCACAGTTGGCCCTTGCACAGTATTTTTCACAGTACTGCACAGAACAAAACATGCCCCAGATGCCTTTACTAAACTGATCTATAAGAGAACGGGTACTTCCTTAACTCCTCCCCAAGAGCTGGGTTAAGCTTGTTGTTGAAATGTGTTCTAGCAGATGACACTGAAATCTATAAAATTTAATTCCAGCTGAAAGAGCACCAGGACTAACATACACCAGGTTCTGGTTTGTGAGACTCTTCTACTTGCGTATTTGGCTCCTTGCTTGCATGCACGATGCTGAGACTTCTGCTGCCATTTCCTGGTTGCGTAGGAGCATCTCCTCTGTCATAAGGACCTCCATAAACGTAAGGAAGCTTCTGCAAGTAGTAGTCATCTGATTTACTCCCACTGTATTGCCCAAAGTCTATTTTCTCCTGTTGACTGTCAGGTGGAGGAAGACTTTTCTTCTGAAAAGATGTTAAGTATCTTAACATAGACACTGATGATCCTGCACCATAGCAGAAACCCTGGGGGAGGGGAAGAAAAAAAAAGAGCAAAATGCTACCTATTTGCAGCCTGTGCTTTTCACACAGAATTCAAAGTCACAGAGCTGAAAAACACTGAAAGAAAACCTCAGGTGATCAGAATGGCTACAGTAAAATTCAAGCCTTCTACAGTCTGACCATGCTGCAGGAACTGCCAGACTGCATGTAATTCATCTTTGGTGCCACAATAAAGATGTTGAAGGCTCTAATTCAGTGCTTTTGTGTACAAAATGCCAATTTGATGCACCATTGTGTAATGAGACAAAGAAGAAATGGGAACTAAGCTGCAATAACCTGTCATAGAGTCTTAAGACTTTAAGCAGTTTAGTGCTATTTTATCCCACTTGGAGAGAAATGTGGTTTAAAACCAAACTCACCTATTTTAATTGCTAAACCAACTGTACTATAAAGATTTTGTCAAGAAAAAAAATCCCTTGTAGAAATAATTTCATCTGTGCTAAGAAATCTGTTCAGCATTACAAATAAGAAATAAATAATAATACTTAAATATAAATAAGTTGAATATAAAAAAAAAACAAACCCAAGAGCTTTTAAATAGAAGATAAATGTATACAAACCAGGACAGCCAGAGCCATCATAATTAGCACTGGAATCTGCAGAAAAAATGGTAAGTCCTTCATAAGTTCTTTGATGAATTCACCAATACCTTGTCCTACATGCTTCAAAGGCTCAGTTACAAAGTTGGTGAAAGTTACTGCCAAAGCCTAGAAAAATACAAACAGAAAAATAGCGTTGTCACTGATTACAAACAAACACGAACAGTCTCTTTAGGCTTGGCATATACCTTTGTTGGTGGAACCAGCAAAACAGGATTTACTAGTAGAGTTTCATAGTACTTCTGACAGGGATCATCCTGAAACGTCCACTTACTTCTGAGCCATTCTGTAGTCAAAGCAGAGACATTATTTTTAAAAAATGTATTTTATGACACAGTTGTAATACAGAAAGTAGCATTTCAGTTACAGATGGAAGAAAACTTCTAGATACGGTTCAGAGCTCAGATTTATTTTTTAAAATCTGAAATTAGCTTAGCAGTGTAGTTTATCCAGTCATGAGGATGCAGGAAGGAGAGGGAAGGTTAGGAATAGAGAGAAAAAAATTGAGGTTTTCCCATGTTAAGTCAAGAAAGTTCTGTTAGATGAACTTAGTCCCTAGAAGCCTCAGAAGAAAAACGTCTCATCTGTGGGAACTATTATCTAGCACATTCTGTCCACGGCTACTGAAACGGAAGTAATTCTGAGTGTTACTACTCATCTGCAGGCTGCAAGTAGATTTTAAAAATGTGTATTTTGCTTGCTAGATTTCAAGAGAGACTTTTAGTTATAATCAGGAAGTCTCGCTCCTTAAGGGCACGTTTAAGTCATAAAAGAGTAATTTATGACATCAGTGTTTCCGTAGTTTGATTTTAGTGCAGTCAGAACATAAACCACTCAAATTTGACAGAAACAGAGCAATTGCAGCCAACTGGGGGAATTTCCAAAGGGAAAACCACAACAAGCACTCATTAAAAGTTGCCATCATTAATCTACCTGCTATAGCAATGGATAACAAATAACAGGTAATGCAAAAATTCAGCTTTGTAAAACAACACCACGAGTGTAAGTAGTCACAGACTAATTTCTGAAGTCCACTGTACTCATAGGCCTGGAAGACTAAAAACCCAATCTTTTTCTTGAATCCCGCCCTCCTACCTTCAAAAAACAGAACTGAACGGTACTGGGGGAAGGGAGTTGTATTAAAGTATAAGCAAAAACACCACACAGAAATAACACCATGACATGCTCCAAGAACAGTTTTGTGACCTGGTCTGCCTCAAAGGCCTAGAAAATAAAGTCTTATGGAATGGAAAAGTGGTAAAACCACATAATCACGTATTGCTGAAGAAGAGTCAGTGTACTACTCAGGAAAATTTAAGAGTATTGTTGGATACTATTACTGACTATTTCATGATCATAAATACTACTATAAAACAATGAAACAAGTATTTACCAATAAGACTTTCCCGCCAGTCCAACTTCTCAGCACAGATATTATCAAACTGTCCCATTTTTGCAATTTCTGCTTGATGCTGCGCAAAGGCCAGCTGCAGGAGAAGAGGAAGACTTGTAAAACATAAAACAAGGTGGTGCTGTCCACATAATGTAGCCTCCATGCAGCACAGCATGTGAGCTAACCATGGTTGCTCTTGGCAGGTCTGGGATAATTGCCTGGGGAAATCTGTATTAAGAGAAGTTTGCTACCTAAACAATTTAACAGTTAAATTCTAAGTACTTCCTGGGAATGGATAAAACCTACCAAGATGGCTACCCCTGAGTTACTCTCCAAATGGCGTCTTAATTACAAAAGAGCAGACTTCAAAGATGTAAGTTCAGAGCAAAAGTAATCTGACATCTTGTTTCCTTAAAATGCTTCTAGAATAAAACCAGAAACAGCTGCCATGCAATTACTAATTAAAACATCTGGACAATCTCTTGTATTTTTTAAATAAGTCCCATTAACAATTTTGCCTTACAGTTTTGATACTCAAAACAAGTAAGTCAAATTATCTGTTGAAAAGCTCTGACATTCTTCAGTGACTCGAGCGTGGCAGTCCACTCGTGTTCCAGAGCCACTCTACTCTCTGGCACTCCCACTACTCTCAGGCTTGAAAGCTACAGTAAAATTCTGATGCCAAGATGTGGGGACCAAGCTTTTGTGGTTCAGCTATAAGCTAGAAGCATGAATTCCTCCTCTTTAAAACCAATGCCACTGTACAGTCAGCTACTTTGTCAGCATTTATGAAGCATTTATCTCTGTCTACCCCATGTTAAATACAGGTTCAGCCAAGGAATCGTTAGAAAGAAAAAAAAACCCATGATGTGTTTTCCTAAGATTTCCACCAGATGCTTTAGAAAGAGTTCACATCTCCCTTGCCCATGCAGTGAAATCACATTTCTACTGCTTTATGAATTTTGTGCACCTTTGTGGCAAGATAAAAGTTGACAGAGTTTTTTGTTGTTGTTCTTTACACCTAATACACCTGTCAACTTGCAAAATAAAATGCTCATCCCTTTATTTATTTTGTGGTCAATTATTGCTTCATATACACTAAATAAAGACATTAAATAACCGCAACTCCCTCCATAACTGAATCTGAAGCCTAAAAGCCGTTAATATTTCAGAGCAACTTACCTTATATAAGTAAAGCCAATTCCATGCAAAACTGATTAGGAAACTTATTAATAAGACACGTTTTAGCTGAACAAACGAATGAATACGTGTCCAGAGCTCTGTAGCTATTATAATTACAATGCACATTAAGCACAAGAGTATCTGAAAAAGAAAACAAGAAAAAATGATGATCCAGATTTCAAATGTTCCAAGCTTACTGCCAGTACACACAAAGGAACTTCCAACTTGTTTTTACTAGCATCATTTATACAGAACAGTTGAGAGAATTTTTCCTTGCTTTCACAAAGTATCTGCAGCAATACAAGGCAGCAAAGTTTCATGGTATTACCAGTAGTCACTCCTACCACTGCCTTATATTGCAGTTGCTCGTTTCTTGTGATATTTAGTTATTTTTTCCTTATGGTATTTATTGTGTTACCTATTGTACTTTACCATTACAAAACTGATATTATTCAGTGCTGGAGTAAAATGTGCCTGGTATGACCCACAGAACCACTGCTGCCAACTCCCACAGTTTGGTTAAGAGACAAAGCTACCAAAGCTACTCTGGCTGACAGCAGCGAGGCTTCAGAGAAGCACTTTACAGCCTCTTTCCACCTGAGGACCCCTAACAGCGAGGTTACACTACTGACAGCTTTTTTCATTTGGCTTCCATGGTCCCCCTCAAGACTAGACAGGCTGCTTTCAAGATCACGTTAGCATATTCCAAACTGTAAGGCTTTATTCAGACAGCTTCAGCTTATCTGATGGGATAAGCTTCAGCCAACTGGAGTGTGGATATTGATGGCTACAGGTGGTTCAGAAGGGACAGGAGAAGGGGTGAAGAAATGGACTGAGTGTGCAGAGCTGTCTCTGAACAACAGGCACGAGCAGATTGAAAGCTTATGGGTAAGAATCAGAGACCGAGACAACAAAGGGAACCTTGTGGTTGGTGTCTACTACAGGCTGCCCAATCACGGAGGGGCTACTGATGAAGCCTCCTTGCTCCAGGTCTCTCATTCTGTTGGAGGGCTCAAACCACCCCAACATCTGCTGGAAAAGTAGCACAACGAGCTGTAGGCAATCCAGGAGACTCCTGGAATGCATTGAGGATAACTTCTTAAGATGGACAATAGAGAGCTCTACCAGAGGGGAGGCGACAATGGACCTGTTGGTCACAAAGACAAGCAAGCTAATCAGTGACATCAAGACCAGAGGCAGCCTGGGCTGCAGTGCTCAGGCACTGGTGGAGTTCGCAGTCCTGAGGAATATGGTCAGGTGAAGAATAAAGTCAGAACCCTGAATTTTAGGAAAGCAAACTTCCATCTGTTCAAGGAGTTAGTCAACAGAACCCCCTAGTGCAAGGGAGCAGAACAGAGCTGGCAGACCTTTAAGGATGCTTTCCATAAAGCCAGAGCTCTTGATCCCTATGTGTAAGAAACCAGGAAAGGAAGGCAAGAGACCAGCATGGATGAGTTGAGATCTGCTGGTCAATCTAAAGGGCAAGAAGGAAATGCAGAGGCGATGGAAGCAGGGACACATATTCTGGGCTGAGTGCAGAGACACTGCCTGGTTGTGTAGGGACGGGGTCAGGAAGGCCAAGGCACAGCTGGAGCTGAGCTTGGCAATGCATGCAAGGAATAATAAAGGGCTTCTGTTGATATGGCAGTCAAAAAAAGAAGGTCCAAAAAAGAGTAGCCCTCCCAATAAGCAAGACTGACAAACTGGCAACAACAAACAAGGAGAAGGCTGAGATACTCAGTAACTCTTCTGCCTCGGTCTTCACTGGCAATCTCTCTTCCCACACCTCTTGAGTAGATGGACTGCAAGACAGGGACTGGAGGAACAAAATCCTTCCCACTGTCAGAGAACATCAGGTTCGAGACCACCTGAGGAGACCTGACGAGATGCATCTGAGTCCTGAGGGAACAGGCTGATGTAGTTGCCAGATATATGGATTACATTTGAAAAATCATGGCAGTCCCTGGTGACTAAGAAAAGGGAAACGTTTTTAAAAAGGGTAGATAGGAGGACCCTGGGAGCTACCCAGCCTCACCTCTGTGCGCTATACCGACGCACATGAAGGACAGGGAGGTGATTTGAACAGCCAGCACGGCTTCATCAAGGGCAAATCCTGCCTGACCAACCTAGTGGCCTTCTGTGATGGAATGACTGTATCCGTGAACTAGGGAAGAGCTATCGGATGTCATCTACCTGGACCTCCGTAAGGCCTTTGACATGGTCCCTCACAACACCCTTCTCTCTAATCTGGAGAGATAAGGATTTGATGGATGGACTGTTCAGTGGGTGAGGAATTGGTTGGATAGTCACATCCAGAGGGTAGTTGTGGGAGAGACATCAGCCTGTCAGCACAGCCCTTGAGAAGCAGCAGGGCTTTGATGAAAAACAGGCCTTGGAAAAAAGATAAGAAACTGCTGAGTTGTGCCAAGGTGGCAGGGAAAAACAACAGACAGCTGCAACACTGAACTGTGAAAAGTTACCCCTGCGTGAACAAGAAGTTGATTAGTCTGCACAGTGCGTGTTATAGTGGTCTTATACTGATAGGAGAAAAGGTTGATAGCTGTCTAATTGCTGATTTGCTAATTATGAAGTAAGAGCTTTAACGAGAGCATAAGTAAGTACTATTGTAATAATAAATGGCCCCTGCCCTGCAGAAAGAAAAAAAAAAGAGAACACTCTGACTCATTATTTTGGCCACTACAGGTAGTGGCCAACAGCTCAGTGTCCAGATGGAGACTGGTGACAAGTGGTGTCCCTCAGGGGCCTGTGCCACGACCAGACCAGTGACACAGACAGTGGGATCGAGTGCAGCCCCAGCAAGTTTGCAGACATCACCAAGCTGAGTGGTGTGGTTGACACTCAAGAGACAGGATGCCAGCCAGAGGGACTTGGACAAGCTCGAGAAGTGGGCCCATGTGAACTGTGGGAGGTTCAACAAGGCCAAGTGCAACATCCTGCACCTGGGTTAGGGCAACCCCTGGTATCAGTACAGGCTGGGGGATGAAGGGGTTGAGAGTAGCCCTGCAGAGAAGGACTTGAGTCTCCTGGTGGATGAAAGGCTGGACACGAGCCAACAAGGTGCGCTCACAGACTGGAAGGCCACGCATGTCCTGGGCTGCATCAAAAAGAAGTGTGGCCAGCAGGCTGAGGGGGGTGATTCTGCTTCTCTCTCCACTCTGGTGAGATCTCACCTGGAGTCCTGTGCCCAGCTCTAGAGCTCTCAGCACCGGAAAGATGTGGACCTGTTGGAGCAGGTCCACAAATATGATCAAAGGGATGAAACATCTCTCCTATGGCAAGAGAGTTGAGGTTGTTCAGCCTGGAGAAGAGAAGGCTCTGGGGAGACCTTATAGCGGCCTTCCAGTGCTTAAAGGGGCTACAGGAAAGCTGGGGAGGGACTATTTATCAGGGTATGTAGGGATGACGAGGGGTCATGATTTTAAACTAAAAGAGGATAGATTTAGACTAGATATAAGGAAGAAATCTTTTACAATGAGGGTGGTGAGACACTGGAACAGGTTGCCCAGAGAGGTGGTAGATGCCCCATCCCTGGAAACATTCATGGTTGGATTGGACAGGGCTCTCAGCCACCTGGTCTAGTTGAAGATGTCCCTGCCCACGGCAGGGGGGGTTGGACTAGATGACCTTTAAAGGTCCCTTCCAACCTAAACTATACTGTGATTATAGATCCTCAGCACCTTATAATTCCATTTTAGAGAATATTACATTTTCAGAGTCATGCTCTTCAACACTATGAACTTTTTTTCATAAAATTCACAAAAACCTCCAACCTATAAAATCTCAGACCTCAAATATATACTTGTCTCAGTATAAACATATTCCAACTCCTGCAGAAGCCAACAGCTTTCACCATCTATTTGAACAAGAGACAAACCTGGAAAATATACAGTGCACAAGTTGTCAGTTGAAGTGACAGGGAAGTACTAGGGTCTAATGAGTTACACAAAACAGACATAAAAGACAGGAAGAGAAAAACAGAAAACACACCAGAAAAAAACACCCTGCAAATCTACAATACGAAACGATGATCACAGGAATAAAAAACTTGAATTCTTACTTCAGGTGAATATATCACCTCTACCTTGAGCACCCATGAAACAAAAAGTGACCTGCTCTAAGTACGATGGAAAGAACTGTTTTACACGTGGAGTTAAGATAGTAATACTCATTTTCTAGACTTGCACAAAGAAACTGTAGAAAACAGCAATTAAAAAGCAACAACAACAAAAATCTTTCTTTTCTTCTTCTCTTACCAGAAACATATTATATAGATCAATTCCAAAAGTGTCTTCAAATCTCCAGTGCCAAGCTTTATAATCATGGTGCTTAAAATTGATCAAAATGTCACTAAGTGCATCATCCACAGCACCTGACTGCCAAGTTTCCTCATTGAGAAACCTGAGAATCTCCAAATATGTCTGTTTTGTAAGGATGATCTCAGCATCATAATGGACGTGGTCCACATTTTCCTCAGGCTGAATTAAAAACAAAGTAAAAGCTGGTTATTCAGAAATAAAAGTACATAGGAAAAACTGTATCCCTATGAAAAAACCTGATTATATAGCCTCATTATGTACCAGCACCTTTTTGCAGCAGGCTGCAGGATGAAGACATGGGACAGCGAGCACAGTATGATTCTATAACTGTTCATTCTTCTAAGCTATATAAAACACAAATTCAGCTGGTTTGTACTCCTTAAAATCTGCAGCAAAAATATAAACCGTGAAGTGAATTCTCACCTGTTATTAAAATTTTAGAACCACTTCTTATTAACAAGTAATAACTACTAATGCACTATGTGTGTCCTGATCATGGCTGGGCAATACAGATAGAACCTATTCAATATTGAAATAAGAAATTTTACATTGCTAAGTATAATGTTCCTTGCTAAATACTAATTTTGCTTATTACTAAAAACATATTCTTCTATCTCTGAATAGAAAAAACAGATCTCCATAGGCATTATAATAAAGTAGTAAGGTTGTTCTTACATGAAAACTGTAATAAGCTACTATTCCTAGCTGGTTCATGTGGCAGAGTCTAAAACGAAGGCCTAAAAGGTCTACAATGAACAAATAAACAAAATCCATCTCTTTCAAGTTTAACCACCATTAACATGAAGTGAACAGGGTATTACTACAGCTGCATCCCAGCAAGAGGTATTTAGATAGACACTCTGAATTCACATAGTCCTCCTGTGGATGCTTTACAGATCAAATGGCAGCTGTGTCTCCTGAGCAAACACTGCTAACAGCAACACTGGATACACAAACTTCAATCATTTTTTCCTTTGCAATTCAGTTCCCTTCATTTTAATTTAAAGTATGTCAGAATAATTAATCAATACTTGCTAACTATCAAAACCACATAAAGTAGGAATATGAATTCTAATTAATTTTTAATGACTGTTCAAATACTTACAAGGCCAAGTTTTCCAGCTTCATTTAAAATCTTATTCAAGTATCGCTTAAAAATATAAAAGCTACGGCTTTCATGTGATTTGGCATTCCTCTTCTCACAATCTGCAATCTGCAATGTAAAGATATTTTATTAACTTCTTGTTCAAATCAGCTTGTTCACAGGAGAAATAAAACACTACCAACACATTAAACTCAGGATTAACAGAGGCACATTTCTTTAGCAATAATCCCACGGTTAGTACACCAGATAAAAAGCATATGCTGAAGATCCTACTTTCCACGGGGCTGGCCAGGACTGGAGATTTCAGATCTGCTAATAAGATGGTTTGAATACTAACCTCAGCAAGACTAGAAAAAAACTAAAGAACTGGAAGTTTAAGTTTAACATCAGAAAAAAAACCCTGTAAAACATAGGAACTAAAACACTGTTAAAATTATATATCCCATTGGGTCTTCGGTAGCTACAGAAGCATCACTACATCCTCCTGATGCCAGAGGAAGCAGCAGCGTGGGGGTCCTAACAGCGGCTTCAGAGAGCTGCAGCACTGCACGTTAGGGTCAGCCAGCCACAAACACATTCTCTATGCCCACAACCCACCCCTTAAAATCCAACAGAACTGAACAACTGGAAAATGAAAGGTCAGGTTTCTTAGGTTTTGGCAGCATGGTGTAACACCGACACCATGTTTAAACTGTTCACACTGGACAGAAGCACGTAGCTCCTATCAACTTCTGTTAAGCTATAAAACATTTTAGGAAATAGACTTTGGTAGGCAGAGCAGCAATTTGGAATTGAGTTCAAACCACTTCCAGTCTGTCCTTTGAAAAAAAGAGGCTCCCCCTGCATAATGTCTCTCACAAATTATGCCAGCAATACACCTGTTCTGTAATATCCAGAAAAGCATCATCAGAAAGCACAAACCATAAAAGGCTGGAAAATATTCTTAAGTTCCATAACAAACCTTCTCTCGCAAGGAATCTACTTCCCTGGAACAACTTGGTAAGATTTCAGTACTGACTGTATCTACAGTCTTATCCTCGGAGTCATGATAGTTTGCCTAAAATTACACAAGAAAAACACAATATTTTTAGAATCAAATAAATTGATCAATATGCCATGTCACACTTACACAATCAGATCACTTAAAAAGGCAGAAAGGACCTAAAAAACTCTTGTTGGTCTTTGCTGCTAACACTCTTCCAAGGATGCTCCAGATACCTCTGTGCTGTTATTTTAGGTTCCAAACAGACAACTGCTTTATCTAAATGCATGCTGACCTCAGAAGTGAGGTCTTGCCCTTTGGTCCCCCACATGCCCTTTCACCTCCTCCGAGTGCTGGCGAGCCACGCACTGCATCAGATTAGATAATCGTCCGGCTAGAAGCCGACTCAGCAAGCAAAAGGGGCAGTTTTCAGCCAGTCAAACTCCCAGCCCAGCTGGCCATGCCGCCCGTCAGACTGAAAGTAAACACAAAGCCCCATTCTGGGTGCATGCCTTTCCTTTCATGTTCCCACTTCACTCTGAAACATCCCATTTTTCCTGTTAATTGCTCAGGGCTAGTTTTAGCAATGCTGCTTCTACGCAACCAGTTATGCACATTGAGCAGAGTCTCCAAAAGGAAGCTCAACATCACACTGATCAGTGTGATACACACACACTGATCCTGCTGATACAAAGTTTGGTTTTGAAGGCCTGGGCTGGCCCACACTGCTTGCCTACCTAAAATCTCTCACTACAAAGCAGAAAAGAAATTCTGAAAAGGTGGGTTAACCCAAAGCAATCATTTTTCTCCTTTAAGATGCAGTTCCATTTTCATGGGAGACAACAGTAAAACTCCGTAATATTTTATTTACAAAAGCCAAACCAGTTAGGCATCAAATTTAAAAGACTCCAAAGCCTGATACTGAATTTTAGGGATGCTAATGACTATCATGTGGACATGGGGCAGGTGGAAGCTGAAGGGGAACTCTGAGGAGAGAAATGATGGAGTCTGCACTTTTTTTAAACTTCAGAAAATTGTGTTTTGAAGTGTTAAAATAGTATTATTCAAGACTGAAAAACCAAGCTGAAGAATGACAAAAATCAAGGGTGCCCATACAACCAACCACAGTTTGCAGCGCCACGTGTGCACAGACGTCCTGGATAAACAATATGCATCTCATGATATATGTATAGAGTCCACCCTTTGTACTGAGATGATTAACCTTGGTAAAACTAGCTTTTCATATTTCACCTTCTCCTCAATGTTCATGAATTATTAACAGTACAACACTCAATCCCTCTTCTGACCTTCCTTCTGAAAACTCCGATGCCCAGCATTACGAAACACCATTAACTTGCATAATAGTCCCACATAATAGATGGGCTTTATTCCCATAATGCTGGGGAAATGGAAAATTCAAGTAAAATATAATCGCTAACCTTAACTCCTCCAAATTTTATCAGCTAGGAACTTAATTTTCAAGATACTTTATACTTGAGAGACTAGCAAGAGCTGCTTAACCCAGTACTTCTCAAGAGAAATGACTCGTGGAGCCACAACCTACAGAAATCAACCACCACCTGTGAAAAGACAAACAGCACAAGTTCCTGTGACTTGAGCAGTGTGCAACAGAAACTTAGTAAAAGGCCCTGAGCTAATTATTTACAATAATATAGACCACTTTTTTGTCCCCTGCATTTTTAACAATGCACACAACACTTTCCTGTGTATAGATTCAGATATAACGTTATAAAACCTTAAAAAGACCGTAATTCTATACTTTTCTAATGTCACAATTTAAGGGTAATCTTTCAACAGCAAGACCTGAAGGACTGTCTGGGAGGGACACGTATTCATGCACCCTTTCTTTTTCTACCTTGTAAGGTCTTCTCATTGTTCCCGATGCTGCATCGTAATTGAGCATATCCGTGGGGTCAATCCATTCATCATCTTGAACTTTACCGCTCCCTGTTAGCACAACTGCACACAATACCAAAGGAAACAGCATCCTGTATCACTAAGGATAACGAGAAAATCAGATATTTAGTTCAGGTTGTAACATGCTGTGCAAAAAACCTTAAACAATCCTGTAACATGAAAAAAAATCATTCTCCGGTGGCGTTTAAAAACTCCGTTCTCCAGTTAACTGCTTAAGCAGGTTAAACTTCACTCACGTTATTTTTTGCCCAAAGAAAACACTGGCAAGAACACGCAAGAACTATAAATTGTATGGTACGACTGGATGAGCATAACCGGCAGCCGCTACCGGCGGGGCAGCGCAGAGTTCAGCATCGCCGAAGCCGGTAAGGCAGCGCAGAACCCCTGCGGGCCCCGAGACAAGGCTCCGGCGCCGTTACCCCGGCAGACACCCCCGGCAAGGCCTCGCCGGGGCCGGGAGGCCGCTCCCGCCCTGCCCTGCCCGCCCCGCTCGCAGCTCGGTGGCGGTCGGGCTGGCCCCGGCC